CCAAACGAGACGGGGAGCGTTGGAGTGAGTAATTAGCCGAGATGGGAGCAGATCGAGGGATTAAATATCGGTTCACTCAAATGTGACTTACCGAGGAGTTCCCTCTGATGACAGTCGTAATCGCTACCCTGACATCAGGAGTCATGAATGTCATTGAATTGCTTTCGTGTATGACCTCCACTGCCTTGTGTCTTATGTCTACCTTCATCCGGTTTGATTTAGCCCTCGAAAAACAGGAAATTGTGACCCACAAATCTGTTGGGATTCGAATACAGTTGGACCCTTCAGCATCGGTTGAGCGGTCAGTGGGTTCAAACATTCGAGACACTTTTCCAGTGATATTGATCGAATTGCTTCCGATTCAATTCAGTTGCGTGAGCTATTTACACATCCTTGATCATTTAACAGGCGTATTCATTTAATGTGTCACTTATTGGGTTCGAATGATAGTGGCGGTCCCAAGTAAATTGTATAGCATCAGCCTAACTAATGCTATTCGATGTTCGTTCTCATTGATTGTACTGATTGATCTGAGTTGATTGGTTCGTTTTTGTACCGGAAATCCAGTTCAATCTATGGTTCACTGTTGAATGATGAGTTTGATCCCCGAGAAAAATGACCGGATATTTTGCGTGGGTCGTCGCGAATCGAGTTTACTCGAAGCTAATTTTGTCAGGTTTCATCGCGGTTCGCATGTCGTCAAACTGATTCCTACGATCATGAACATTTGAAACAGTCCTATCTGAAATAAAAACGAAGTGAAATTCACATACAAACAAATGTGAGCAGTCTTTGAGTAATTGCCTTATCTTCCTGAAAAATTCCTTCCATCTTTTTTGTCGATAAAACAAAACAAACCGATTGCCAGTGTGCTATAATCAGTTTGCAGATTTTGTCGTTTACAGGGCAAAAGCGAAGTGTAAACTAAAAATGCCCAGAAGTACTGTCCTGATATTTCAACCCTTTTGACATTGCGAATCCATCGACCCAAATCTGGATCGAACACTTAACCTCACGAGGAAATCCATCACAAAAATTGAACCAAATCGTCCACTACTCTCGCGTGTCAAGTAGTCAGTTTCAGAATGCCTTCAATCATGTTTCAGTCCGAGGGGTTCAGGCTGTGATGACCAGGATGGGATGCTTGCAACAGGTTTGCAAAGATGGGTTGTACTTTACTGTGTATGGGCGAAATGAAGGCCGAACTGATCGGTGGTTCGATGCTCTAAAGCATAATACGCCTGCCTTCCATCTCTGAGGCATCGGGTTCGCGATCCTCATGTGTCGATGGATTCACACTGCCGATTAATCCCAAACAGATATACAGTGCATCCCGATCTTTCAGATCCTCTGTACACGAACAACTGTACGACATACGATCGAATCACATCCACCAATACTCACATCTTGTCATTTTTATTATTATGAGTTGTATAGATAATTTTTGGGTGTTAACTTTGATTTCCAAGTAGTCAGGTTGTGATTGTTTCCCACCGAGTCATGGCCCGGAGAGTAGTGCTGAGATAAGATGTAATGGTGACCTCATCAGCATCGGACGAATCGGGTTATATTTTGTGTCTTCTTTTGTTTGATTGGATCGCATCAAGTTCAGGTCAATAGGCTCCGTTGGTTAGGACGCATTTTGCCTATGTCCGACTATCGCCTACCTCAGCGCACCTTATTCGCAGTGGCTGTGGCAGGCTAGAGAAAGCTACGTGGAGGCCAACAGATGACGCGGAGACTAGGCATAAAGAAATGCACAGAGCGATTAGGTGGAGTAAGTGTCTTTCGTCTTCCGGGTTGGGGTTCAAAAGACTCTGAAACCGCATGGTTGTAGACACTGAAGATCAGGGCGGCGAACCGACAGCAATGACGATCATTCTGTCACTTCTTATCAGACAAGAATGCTTGAGATTGTATGTATGTACAATTGGACTTTTTACTCTGTGTTGACCATAGACGTTCGCTTCCTTTTCCCGTCTTTAAAATGAAGTCCAATCCTTATCCTCCTTACACATTCTCACTTATGAGTTTGGCAGCGATCAGTGAAGCTTGCTTCACTGTACTACGCTGTACATTGATGTAGATGATGATGAATCGTTTTTTCGATCAATCGTGTGATACGTTTGGATTCTGGTTATGAATTAGGTAGTCTCTCATTAAGATCGACCTACAAATCCGCTCTATGAATAACACCAGGAAAAGGTTGACCAGCAGCTATTACAGTGTTTCACTGGCAGTGAAATGAACATTCATTTAATCCTACCCGCGGTTAGAGTTTTACACGAATTTTAAAAGGATCAGCCAAGACCACCGGCGTTTCATATGCGGGTTTCGACTGCAGTAATTGTTAAACGCGTAAGCTCATGCGGAACAATAACTCGATAATACTTAGTGGAATATGTGCAAAGCAACGAGTATGTCCTTTCTTATTTGACCCCTGTTCCCTTCCTTGTGCGTTAACAGTTTTGCGGTTGTTTAGCTATCTCACTCAGTTGTTTGTTCCAACAATTAATTGAAGGCGCGTTTTTCCAGCTCCCGGTCTTCCTTACTCTTAGTAACAGTGCAGAGAAATAGGGATCACGCGTTGAGTGTATATGGTTTGGAAGTTATATAAAAGTATTTTGGTATTATTTTGTCTTTATCTCCAAGGCCGCTCTCTCCTTATATTTCTTAGCCGGGCAATGGCATAATCAATGATTGGTCGATGCGAATCGAACCCGTTGGCTTACTTCTTCCCGCTAGTCAACAGACCACCTAACAATGTGTTCCTTTCATTTCTCAAGTTCATTTGTCCTGCTCTCTCATTTTCGATTTGAAGCCACGCAAAATCTGCATTGTGCGCGGTCTTGCTACTGTGATACTGTCAATTATTCACTTTTGTCTGTTCGCTAAGCTTGGTGATCTGTTTGCATACTTCTCACTATCAGTCCAGGTGACATCTTTAACACATGTGCAATCTAAATCATTCGCGGTTCTTGCGCGTTTGTCCGTTTCTCGCTCTGAACATGTTACCCACCTTATTTTGTTTCCTAACTGCACACTGGGTTTGTGCGCAGCGCGTTGTCGTGTATCGCGCACGCGTGCGCACCAGCGTATGCACACACGCACTGTGAGTTCCGTCACCACACACGGGACCGGTCTGTTTGTTGTGCATTGCAGCGGCCGCATATGCGCACTTCAACCTCTCTGTCCATAGGGATGTGTGTATATGTTTATCAGGTTCATCGTCTGGCGTTTTAATTGTTCGATTGTTCAGTCTAGCGCTCCAATTAATTATTTTATTAACGCAAACGAGGTGATCTGTGACCAATTATCCAATTAGCCGCTTTTCCCTTCCTGGGAATCGCTTGTATCCTTATCCAATAATAGGGAGTGTAACGTAACAAGCCAAATAAATCCCTCTCCCATTGGAGGGTTGTGAGGGAGCAGGAGAGATGAAAACACTTGTTTTGACTAGCCGTCAACGGGTCATTTAATAGGCGCGTACATGCACAGCGTGAACGACACAGACATCACAGTTCGATATACAAAATGTGGCGTTCACACACTCGCACAGTTCAGACCGATTTGACTGCGATCGTCTCTCTTGTGCTGACCAGGTGTAGCATGCTTCTATCTTGCTGTTTGTTTCGACTGTGGTGCATATGTTGCAGCTGTTGATTGGGCTGGATTCGTTCTTCTGCCAGGGCACTTCAGGTAACTACAAGTATCTTGAAAGTGTGAGCAGCGTACACTATGGACTGAGACAACTTGGATGTCGAAACGACGACGTCACACCAAAGTTTTATGATCGTTTACGCAGTGCTATGCTACAATGAGCTATGCTGTCCACATTGGATGAATAGAGTGCACTATTGACTTGACTGGACTTGCTACATGGTGGTGGGACTGAGTTTGCAAACGGCGAGCCATCGACTGGCATCTCTCGACTGCTATTGGTTTAGTGCAAACGGACTGAAGTTCGGGAACTGGAAAAAAATAAACCGTCATGTGTTTGAATGTATCTTGGTGAAAAAGTCACTGTAGCAACGAATTCAGGTGAGTAGGATTCGTTGGTTATGGCAGGTGTTGCCCATGCTTAGTGGTTGTCTATCATCACAACGATCATTATCTACGACTAACGTTCCAGAGTGAAAGAAATCACATGGAGCTGAGGTTTAGAAAGTAACTCAGAGAGCGAGCGAGAGAGAACCGTTGTCTCTCTTCTCCCAGACGGAGCTTACATAAATCTGTCACCAACTAGCTGATTTTGCTGGATAACCTGGCTGCAAATCAACATCAGTTCCATTCTTGTCGTTTCTTATCGAATCGAAGCCGTGCTAGTTCACGCGCACCCGTGCGCGTGTTGCTAAACTGTATACTCTGGGCATTAACCACACGAGGTCATTTTGGTGTACTCATTTTTTTGTCGTCCTGAATCTCTGTCTGTGTTTCACATGGGTAACTGTTTTCCCGGTAGAATTTATCTTTATTTTTCCCTTTTCTATGGAATATTTTGTACAATGAGTGTTCCGGAAGATACATCCAACCAGTCTAATAACGGTCATTCAATGCAGTGGGAACAGGAAATTTAGGCCACCATGGAGAAAACTTGCAGACAAAACACGAGTCTATTACCCGTTTAACCACTAACTAGATGATAACGCTTCTACCCTTTCTGTCCACGACACGTCTCTGTCCATTTTATTACATGCTGAACTAAATAGAATAGATTGAGGATAGATTGGATGCAGACTTTCGTTACTAACATGACAGAACTTGATTCCTTGATGCACATCTGCTCGGGATTGGTCCTTCATGCTTGTTAAATGTCCAATGACAGCCAATTAGTCAGTTGTCCAATGTTCGTACGGCTTTTCAGTACTGTGCGATGTACGATCGTACCTATCGTGCGGTAACAGCTATCTATCCATCGTCCCACGCTGACGATCTTGGCTTGTTTGAACCGTCCAAACAAAAAACACTGTCCTACTCATCGTTCTGTTCCCTGTTTTCAGATGGAAGCAGAGGTCGGTCGTACTCAGGCTGCTCTCCTGTTATACGAATTCGAATGTTGTGCACGTTGTATCCGGCGCATGTTGTACGGAGCCACAAGTCAACCGGCTGACTTTCTGCATTTAGCCGACGCTGAACGCGAAACCCCAATATGCCCGATCTGTTGTGGCGTGTTGCATCATCCCCGTCTGTGCACACTTCCCGCGGACTATGACCGGTCCAAGTATCAGCCAGCCGAGAATGAAGCCGAACGGTATATGCTGGCCGAAATGCTATACAAGATGGACGCTTCCGATTTCGAGTATTTGGCCTGTCAGTTCAAGGTGAGTCAACTCGTGCCTACGAAATGAGAACTGGAAAACCATATGAGCCGTATTGTAGATATTTTTAGGACCAGGCGTGACATAACATGTTTTGATCGATCGACCGGTTGATTAAGTCCCGAAACGACTTTGTGATGTGACTTCTCAGCCGATTATTGTCTTTTTTTGTGTGCCATCCGAGACATCTCTAAAGTGGACTCATCCTTTACCAGGATCTAGCCTCATAATAGCGATGTGGTCTCTAATCTCGATTAGTGCCGAATTAAACGAGAAGCTGTCGCCGTCTGGTCGTTTACAATGTGATGATTGATATGTATAGCTCACCCATACCTATATATTTTTAAGACACTCAAGGTGTAGAAAAGTGAACCTTCTAGCCACTAAGACCTATCACTCAGTAACGATAAACGGTGACATAATCTCTTAAACTCATGCACCACCTGAGGCATGTGGTATTTTTCTGACTATAGCTGATTTGTTTGCCACTGATATTGTATGGAGACGGCAAGATTCTAACCTCGAATCGTACGTCCCGTACCATGCCGTCGACTGTGGTTTAAACTTACTTCTGGTTTTACTCAAAGTAATGTCCTAAACGAAGATTGCCGAGGACTGTGTAAACACAATTCAACGATTTATTCGCCTCCTTGCAGATCATCATGGGATGATTGGTACGTACGGTTAACCCTAGGATCACAAGGTGTTATTGATCGATAAGACTTGAAAAGTGTTTGCATCACATAAACCCAGATAAGCGTGGTATTTTGAACGGGATGATATTCGGTGTGTGTGTGTGTGTGTTTAGCCCTCATTGTCTCACAGAATCACCACACTGTGATACTCAAATGCTGAAACTTTTTGAATAAAAAATAAGTGATGTTTTACGTCCTTTTAGTATTTATCATGTATAGCAGTATGCAGTCAATTTTCGGGGCTGTGACCGAACAGAAGCCTGTCCGCTTGACTATCATCGCCCATATTGACCGATCGAATATTCAGCTAGTCGCTCCAGTGTTGAAATGTGTGGTCAGTTGTGGTAATGCACACAGACCGTTGCGGCACTTAGTCCTAGAAAATCTTGTTTTGAAATTCAACTAGTTTTAATTTATGTTTGCTTGTGGACACATTCCATACAACCCGGCTGCGGTCCGTTCGGGTTTTCTGACTGTTCCGTTCAATCAGTATTGGTTGTTAGAACACTGGAGTGTGCGCCTTAAATATGACCACAGTATTCCAATCACCATTGCTGGCCGAATCGGTGGTTGTGAAACCGTAGCTAGTCATTGTTTATCGTTTTTGAGGTGATTTTTCATTCGAGGTCATGTCGATACATCAAGACGTACACATCGGTTTTGCTGGAACCGACCATCCCTAACTGTGCGCGTGTGCGCAGAAATTCTCCTGGCGACAATTGGCGTCAGCGACTGGGTCTAGTCAGCTGTTTACCGCAAATACATCGGTCCCACAGGCGACCATATTCTCATAGCACTGTGCCCCCCCCCCGGCATGGTAATGGCGTATGTGCAGTTTTTCACGCACAAACAACCATTACCACTACCATAACAATATTAACGATACCAACCGTATTTTTAATTAATTCCTTCGAGAATGTACAAATGCAAGTGTGTGTGCGTGTGTATGCAACCGTCCACGACCGGTCCTGATAAAACCGCCTCAAAACCCATGTAGCGGCCGCGCATACCCCCAGATAACCTGTGCACGTACTTATGTGTACTTGACAAAGAGAATCTACAGCGACATGATCGGACGAATAGATCAATAATCGCTCTGTTCAACTGATTCGTGGCCTGCATGGGTTTGTTCTTACGACCTACTGGATTTTGAAAAATATACAAGCAAGATTGAGATCATTGAATCAATAGCATTGATTGACTCTGCTATTGTTACCCTCTCTTACTCTGCTCTGCTTTCTGGTNCCTGTCGAAAGCAAACGCACTGAAGCCACATGGCTCCTAAACATACTTGTGTGTCTCCAAAATGTCCACCGGTGCAATTTGCGCCGTATCTTCAGGCTGAATTGAACGCGACCTTTTCAATTCATCCCATTTCGCAGACATTTAAGCCTGTTTGTTGATCCCGATGTCAATGAATTCGCATTGATCGATGAAGATCATTTCTGATTCAGGTGAAAACAGGCTTGTGCATAAGGTGCTTGCTGGTCGTCGACTGTGTTGATCAGCAATAAGGATCTTGTCTCCCAACCGGTAGATTCGAGTCTTGGCGAAGTACAAAGTACGCATTGGCTACGAGTTCTAACAAGGACGAAGTAACAGTACGAGTTCTTATTGTTGACATTACACCAAAAACGTTTCATTACACATTCACGAACCGGCAGTCCTATTCCCTTGATCCACCCACAGCCCGATTCCTTACCGCATTACTGAAAACTGGAGCGCGTGTCCACTAAATCCATGTTTGGATTCGAGCTCAAGCACATATAAGGTTACACATCAGATTGGCTATTCACGATGACCCTTTAGTCACTAGATTCTTAAAAATAACAACAAAGTTGTATTTGTATTGAAGCATATTTTTCTTTTTATATTTCAACACGTGACCAATTACAGAGAACTGGCAAATGTGCCACAACATAGGAACAAAATATCTGTGGAGTGTGTTCATAGGTTGTGTGGGCACGTTACTTCCCGATTGCCCTGACCGAGGAAGGGAGATAACCTCGGGGTCTTCACCCGAGGCCTTTAGCTAGAAAGCCAGACCTGCAAGACAACAGCACGGAGCTCAGAGTTCGCAGTCCATTGGGGGCTGGTGTCCAGTTCATTGGNGCCTGAGGTGCCCAATACACCTCGATACCCAATCGAGCCGGTGACCACTGACAACCAGGAAAGTGTATGTGGTACCTTAGCCTCTTTTTGGTTGGTCTGGAATCAGGGATTTTAGGCAACTCCCTTAGTTGAACTAACAATGGTTCACCAACCCCGTTATAGCTCCAGATTTTGGCTTTTCGTCTTCTTACTTCGATGGAAAAACACCCGCCACGGGAAGGCAGTAAGTAAGGCTTCCCCAGCAGAGGCTGTTTTAGACGCTTGGTCATACAGGAGCGTTTCGCGAGGTGTAAAGGAATGGTGACCAGTCATAACCCGAGACACACCCCCCGACCGTACGGAGGCATTCGGAGGCAAGTTATATACAAGCTTTCAACCAAAAAAGAAACC